CAGATTTAAGACAAAATACTGGAATAAAATATGAATTTTTAAGTTGTTCGTTCACTTGTTACGTACTTCAGATTATAATTGTAATTTCTTCTCCCAGGTGACTGAGCTGTTCTCCATCCCTGACACAGACAGACAGTCAATAAATGTCAAATCACCACCACCACCTACACCAGGCATGGACAAACTAAGGCCCGGGGGCTGGATGCGGCCCACCAAACTTTTCAAAATGACATACTTTTTTTTACTGTATATTATCCTTATACTTCTGCCTTTACCCTGCAATACCCACGTTTTCCCAATAGATGGCGTAAAAAATGACAAAAGAGCATTTTAGCATTTTAGCCTTTAGCATGACTCATACATGTCATTTATCTTAGTTCACACCAACACTCCTCACCCTCGTAAATTTTTTTTCGCGATTCAAAAAGTTTGCCCAACCCTGACCTACACTCTGTGATGCCACACTTCTTCTTCTTCTTCTTTTTTTTTTTTTTTTTTTTTTCCCTTCAAATATCAAGGTATAAGAACTCTCACCCCCAAACGGCTGTATCTCTGATACACAGCGGACGTAAATCCTAAATCCTACCCCGGAGTGTTTGTAAGGACAGCGACAAGGATGTCTGTGTTAACTGTCAAGCAGTCAAGCCAGGGGGCTGTGAGCAGCATGAATTATGTAAGCTCTGCCCGGCCGCGTCTTTTAGGCTTACGACAGATGCAACAAGGCGCCGTGAAGTGCCTTCAGCAGAAAGAGGTACAGAAATTAAACCAAATTCCTCGTATGTGCCGTAGCTTTAAATCCCTCGTCTTATGCACGTGGAAGCAGGAAGTAATTGATTTTTCACCTCCTTTTATAGATTGACTTGTGCTGAGGTTCATCCTCCTCCAATGGCATTAAGGTTATACAGATATTTATGTGTTTATAGACAAACTATAAAATCCACTGATATTGAGTTTTACCGCAGACAGAGTTAACTCTGAAGAGACACAATTCAAACTTTTTTTTTCTCGTCCTTTGCTGTAAAATGGTGTTGATGTGTGAATGTGAAGTGTCACATTTAGTTCAGGTGTCCCCAACATCTGGTCCGTGGGCCGGTACATGGGTCAGTAAGTACCGGGCTTCAGCTTTTATTTTTTAATTTTTTTTTTACTTAGTAAATTCTCTTACTTCATTACTTGAGTTTTGACATCCTGACGTGCTAACCTGTTGAATGCAATTAATTAATTCTAACATCTGAATTAAATTAAAAAATAATTGGTACTCTTTCACTGGTACTATTGTCATAATGACGATATATTATAACATACAAACCTTTGTTGGAAACTGAGCCTGAATTTCTTATTTTTTTCAGTCATTGACTGAATTTTGTTTCTAAACTCTCTCTCTCTCTCTCTCTCTCCCTCTCTGTCTCTCTCTCATCAACCCCCCCCC